GTTAATTTGCTTCATGTGGGCAGCAGCTTATTTAAAAATGGCCACAAGTTAGAAAAGAGCTCAATATCTGTCTCTTGAGAGATGAAGGGGAAGACTTGGAATCAGCTGCCCAGTCTAAATGGTAGAGCAATATACAAATGACTGGAAACCTCCTTAAGGAATTCCTCATTGGGCATATTTTCCAGATCAAGCAACTTGAATCAGTGAAATGTAATATTAATTGTTGCAATTATCGATATTCCCAGGTTCCTGTTCCTCAGAAGCATGTCTGTTTATGTGTGCCTCTCTTCTGGAATACTAATATTAAAAGTTTCCCTGAATCCCTCCCCAGTTGCACTCAGTATGAATGCAAAGCAGGTATATGATACTGCCTTAAAATATTTACATAGGCCTGCTAGTGTCAAGTAGAGTAGACCCATTGAATCAATGGGTTTTACTTACTTAAAGTAAAGGTAAAAGTTTTCCCCAACATTAAGTCCAGTCGTGTCTGACTCTGGGGGGGGGGGGGGGGGGGGGGTGCTCATCTCCATTTCTAAGCCTAAGAGCCGGCGTTGTCTGTAGACACCTCCAAAGTCATGTGGCCGACATGACTGCATGGAGCACCGTTACCTTCCCACCGGAGCGGTACCTATTGATCTACTCACATGTGCATGTTTTAGAACTTCTAGGTTAGCAGAAGCTGGGACTGACAGCGGAAGCTCATGCTGCTCCCTGGATTTGAACCTGTGACCTTTTGGTCAACAAGCTCAGCAGCTCAGCTATTTAACCCACCGACTTGCAGTTGAGCAATAGATTCAGTGAGCTTTATGTTGTTGTGCTGCGGGATACCGACTGGAGCAGACATGGGCAAACTTTTTTGGGTTGTTGTAGGTTTTTTCAGGGTATATGTCCATGTTCTAGAGGCATTCTCTCCTGACATTTCGCCTGCATCTATGGCAAGCATCCTCAGAGGTAGTGAGGTCTGTTGGAACTAGGAAAATGGATTTATATATCTGTGGAATGACCAGGGTGGGACAAAGAACTCTTGTCTGTTGGAGCTAGGTGTGAATGTTTCAACTGACCACCTTGATTAGCATTTGATGGCCTGGCAGTGGACAATTTCAACAGAAAGGAGGAAACCATGAAAATGAATAAAATCTGGCTAGCAGTATTTAAAAAATTCTAAAATTACAACAGCAAAACAACAGAGAGGAAATAATCAGGGACATCTAATCACTTCTCAACAAAAGATTGCCCCAGGCTCTAGCAAGACACACCAACTGCCAGGCCATCAAATGCTAATCAAGGGCAGGGCAGGGCAGGGCTGGGATCATCCTCAGGTTGTCCTCTTGGCATAAGGATGGAGCCGCTTGCTGGGAGGAAAACGAGACATGCGACGACTTTCCCAATCGTCCTCCTCGATCTTCCTCCCCCGGTATTTGGGCTGAGGAGGAGGGCGGACAGGTGATGGCTGAGAGGGCTCCGGAGGTCTCTCAGCCACGACGTGCCTTCCTTGGGTCATCCACTCAGCATAAGGACTGGGTCACTCATGCCGTCCTTTTGCTGGGAGGAGGGCAAAACATGCAGTGGATGACAGCACTCCAGAGGGCTCTCAGCTGCTGTGTCTACCTCCCCAAACCTTTCTGCATAACACATCCTAATGCTGAAAGGATGGGGAAAATGAGGAGGTAAGCACCCAGAGGCCCGTGTTTGGCCCCCAGGCCTTAGTTTACCGATGCCTGAACTAGAGTTTGAATTGTTTCAGTCCAAATAATGTCCAAGTGAAGCTTTTAATTTGCTTGCATACTTAAATCCCGTGAGTCAGATGACAGTACAGGCAGAGTTATGATGGGATATGAGCAGAGCTTAGAAAATAGACTTTTTAGATGAGTTCAAATTCCGGAAGTTCAGATTCTGCAGCCCAAACCAAACAATTTGTTTAAACCACGCGTGGGCAAACTTTGCCCCCCCCAGGTGTTTTGTACTTCAACTCCCACAATTCGTAACAGCCTCAGGCCCCTTCCTGTTCCCCCTCAGCTGCTTAAGTTTGCCCATGCCTAATTTAAACTAATTTAAAAGGCGTACGGCAGGGTTGTATCCTCTCCCCCAACCTATTCAACTTGTATGCAGAACACATCATGCAATGTGCGGGGCTTGACGAATGCAAGGCTGGGGTGAAAATTGCTGGAAGAAACAATAACAACCTTAGATATGTGTACGACACCATTTTGATGGCCGAAAGTGAGGAGGAGCTGAGGAGCCTTATGACCAAGGTGTAAGAAGAAAGTGCAAAAGCTGGGTTGCATCTAAACATCAAAAAAGCCAAGATTACGGCAACAAGAATGATTGACAACTGGGAAATAGACGGAGAAAACGTGGAGGCAGTGACAGGGTTTGTATTTCTAGGTGCAAAGATTACTGCAGACGCAGACTGCAGCCAGGAAATCAGGAGACGCTTCCTTCTTGGGAGGAGAGCAAGGACCAATCTTGATAAAATAGTGAAGAGTAGAGACATCACACTGACAACGAAGATCCACATAGTCAAAGCAATGGTATTCCCCATAGCCACCAACGGATGTGAGAGCTGGACCTTAGGGAAGGCTGAGCGAAGGAAGAGAGATGCTTTTGAACTGTGATGCTGGAGGAAAGTGCTGAGAGTGCCTTGGACAGCAAGAAGATCCAACCAGCCCATACTTCAAGAAATAAAGCCCGACTGCTCGTTGGAGGGAAGGATATTAGAGGCCAAGATGAAGTACTTTGGACACATCATGAGAAGAAAGGAAAGCTTAGAGAAGACAATGGTGCTGGGGGAAATGGAAGGAAAAGGGAAGAGGGGCCAACCAAGGGCAAGATGGATGGATGGTATCCTTGAAGTGACTGGATTGACCTTGAAGGAACTGGGGGTGGTGACGGCCGACAGGGAGCTCTGGCGTGGACTGGTCCATGAAGTCATGAAGAGTCGGAAACGACTGAACGAATGAACAACAACAATTTAAACTCTGGCTCCAGCAGCATGAATAAACTCTGTTGCCCTTGAGAACCTTGCTACACTTGCAGACAGGTCAACAAGCTTAAATCTGCCACTGCTATCTGTAGGACGAAATAGGTCTAGGGGGGAAAATGGAAGAAACATTGAATCCACTGAATCCAAAAGGTCTTGGGAGATTTTGAAAGACTGCACATAGAACTATGTTTCCAAAAGTTTCATTCATGTAAGACTGCGGTTCCCAACCTGTGGTCCGTGGACCACCAGTGGTCCCCAAGAACTAAAATATGTTCTGCCCATGCCTAATATATATACAGTATATCTATATAAATAAAAATGCAATGTTCATTTGTGGGATTAACATAACTCAAAAACCACTGGACGAATTGACATGAAATTTGGACACAATGCACCTATCAGGCCAACGAGTGACCATCACTCATAAAACATTGAAACACACAGCAGAAGGGATTTAAGAAGCAAAAAAAGAGCAAGAAGATGCTACAGCACACGCACAGAACAACTCCCCCTGGCAAACAAAACACAAAATAGCATATCCACACTCTCTTTGGGACTACAGCTCCCAGCATCCCCTAGACCAGGCCCTTTAGGAGAGGAGGATGATCCAAATGCACTGCTTCCAAGATGCAAGATTTCTTCTCCTTGGATTTTGTTGATAACATCCCAGTTCCTGCATATTTCCAATTTCCTATTCCTGGACTGCAACTCCCTGCAATCCTCCAGTTAGGTAAGCTAGATAGATTAGACAGAGATAGGTAGGTAGGTAGGTAGGTAGGTAGGTAGGTAGATTTATCAGGAGGACTGCTGGGAGTTGCTGTCCAAGAATAAGTGGAGAATGAAGAAAGAGGAAGGGAAAGAAAAGGAGGGGGGAAGGGAAGAGGGACAGAAGGAAGGAAGGACGGAAGGAAGGAAGGAAGGAAGGAAGGAAGGAAGGAAGGAAGGAAGGAAGGAAGGAGAGAATGAAAAAAAATTGGAAGGAAGGAAGGAAAGGAGGAGAGAAAGAGGGAGAGAAGGTTGGCCACAGCAACGTGTGGCGGGTACAGTTAGTAGAATATATAATATCATATATAATATAATATATAAACATCTCTTAGGGCAGTGGTTCTCAACCTGCGGGTCGGGACCCCTGGGGGGGGGTCATGAGGGGATGTCAGAGGGGTCGCCAAAGACCATCAGAAAACACAATATTTTCTGTTGGTCATGGGGGTTATGCATGGGAAGTTTGGGCCAATTCTATCATTGGTGGGGTTCAGAATGCTCTTTGATTGTAGGTGAACTATAAATCCCAGCAACTACAACTCCCAACTGTCAATGTCTATTTTCCTCAAATGCCACCAGTGTTCACATTTAGGCATATTGAGTATTCTTGCCAAGTTTGGTCCAGTTCCATCATTGTTTGAGCCCCCAGTGCTCTCTGGATGTAGATGAACTACAACTCCAAAACTCAAGGTCAATGCCCATCAAACCTTTCCAGTATTTTCTGTTGATCATGGGAGTTCTGTGTGCCAAGTCTGGTTCAATTCTATCATTGGTGGAGTTCAGAATGCTCTTTGATTGTAGGTGAACTATAAATGAAAGCTCCCAGATGACATAATCAATCCCTCACCCAATCCCAGTAGTATTCAGATTTGGGTGTTTTAGGTATTTGTGCCAAATTTGGTCCCGTGAATGACAGTGCATCCTGCATATTGGATATTTACATTACAGTTGATAACAGTAGCAAAATTACAGTTATGAAGCAGCAATGAAAATAATGTTATGGTTGGGGGGTCACCACAACATGAGGAAGTGTATTAAGGGGTCGCAGCATTAGGAAAATTGAGAAACAGTGTCTTAGGGCTTCACAAGAAACTTTTGCTTCAAAAAGTGCTCTGCAGCTGAAAAAGTTTGAGAACCCCTTCCATAGCCAATACGTCCATCTGATCCCTCTGGAGAGCCAGAGGTTGTCCTCATCTACCTGTGCTTCAGTCTTCACGCTCTCTCCCTTTCTGTTTCCCCTCCCTTTTCTTTTCAGCCACTTCTAACTTAGACCCAGATGTGAAGAAGCCTACCCCACCGAAGCTGCTATGGCATCAGCCTATCAACATCTTCTTGGCCCGGCCTGTTGGCATGGAAGAGCTGCACCATGAAGCGGAGCTCAACCTGCAGAGCATGCTCCAAGGTATTTGCAGGAACCTTTGGGACGAGGTAGCAGGGAGATGAAAGAGAGTTTCCCCATAATCATTGGAGGATAAATGCATCCTGGTTCCAGTTGAGAGAAGTGCCCTTGATTACTGCTTCCCAGTGGTCAGTTTTGGGGGCCAGCAGAGGATTTGTAGGATTTGGGGCAGATATAATATTGTAGGATCTATTGCTTTTTTTCAACATCAGGAGCAGCTTGATAAACTGCAAGTCGCTACTGGTGTGAGAGAATTGGCCATCTGCAAGGATGTTGCCCAGGGGACTCCAGGATGTTTGATGTTTTACCATCCTGTGGGAGGCCTCTCTCATGCCCCCGCATGGGGAGCTGGAGCTGACAGAGGGAGCTCATCTGCGCTCTCCCTCGATTCGAACCTCCGACTTGTCGGTCTTCAGTCCTGCCGGCACAATGGTTTATCTCACTGTACTACTGGCATCCCTCTATCATTCACGTACAATGCATAAATAGGTTCTTGTGGGTTTTTTCATGCTATAGGGCCATGTTCTAGAGGCATTTCTCTCAGAGATAGTGAGGATGCTTGCCATAGATGCAGGCGAAATGTCAGGAGAAAAGCCTCTAGAACATGGCCCTATAGCCTGAAAAAACCCACAAGAACCTAGTGATTCCAGCCATGAAAACCTTTGACAATACAATGCATAAATATTTTGAGTGAAATTGGTGAGGTCCTCACCATGTTTTTACTTGGTAGCTAAATGAGATGGGGTCAGACTAAATGACCTTCAGGTATCTCTCTATCATTCACGTACAATGCATAAATATTTCGAGTGAAATTGGTGAGGTCCTCGTCTTTTTTTCCCTCTTGGCAATTAAATGAGATTGGAGTCAGTTTAAATGATTTTCAGGTATCCCTCTATCATTCACGTACAACGCATAACTATTTCGCGTTAAATTGGTGAACTTGCTATGTTTTTACTTGGTAACTCAATGAGATCGGGGCCAGACTAAATGACCCTCGGGTATCCCTCTAACATTCAAGTACAATGCATAAGTTTCCCATGTCCCTGCATGGGAAACTAGAGCTGACAGATGGGAGCTCACCCTGCTCCCCGGATTTGAATCACCAACTTGTCGGTCAGCAGTCCTGCCGGCACAAGGGTTTAACTTGTTGTGCCATTGGGGACTCCATCTATTACTCATTGCTACCAAGATGCATACATACTGACCATGAATGAGAATTATTGCATGCAGGAACTAGATGTGAGAATACAGCATTGCTGAGATACAGAACTGTGCCATGTGTGTTATGTTTGCTACCTTTCCCCCCATTGTTGCTTATGAAAAGGGGTTGAAGGTGACTAATATTTTCTGTGCCGCTGTGCCTTTGGTGCAGAGAGGAGATACAACAGCCATCTTTACATATCTGAAGGGGTGGCATATAGAAGAGGGAGCAAGCTTGTTTTTCAGCTGCTCCTGAGATTTGGACAGAAACCCGTGGATTTAAATCAGGAAAAAGAAAAACTCTCTGGCAAGGAGAGCTGTTTACCAGTGGAATAGATTGCCTCAGAGGGTGGTAGACTCTCCTGCTGTGGAAGTCTTTAAATAGAGATTGGAAGGCCATTTCTCAGGAACATTTTTTTGCTGTGTATTCTTGCATCGCAGGAGATTGGACTAGGTGGCCCTTGCAGTCTGTTCGAAATCGATGATTCCTGGTTCAATACTAGGCACCCATCCAAGTCCTTCTTTTATGGTGTGAGTGGCTCTCAAAAGATGACTCTTGTGGAGTTGTAGGCTGTGTTCTGCACACTCTCATACACACACACCTTGAGCTCCAAAACCTTGCCTTTAACAACAAAATGTAAGCACAGCAATGGGCCGCAATATCTCTCAAAGGCACAATATCTCCATATCCTACATCATCCCAAGCTATGACATTTTCTCCAGTCTTCTTTCCTTGGCACCTTTAAGAACATTACCCTTGTGTCCGACTCTGGGGTGGTGGTGCTTATCTCCATTTCTAAGCCAAAGAACCGGCATTGTTCATAGGTCATGTGGCCGGCATGACTGCATGGAGTGCTGTTACCTTCCCACCAAAGTGGTACCTATTGATCTTCTCACATTTGCATGTTTTCGAACTTCTGGTTTGGTAGAAGCTGGGGCTAACAGTGGAAGCTCACCCCACTCCCTGGATTCGAACCACCAATCTTTCGGTCAGCAAGTTAAGCAGATCAGCAGTTTAAACCGCTGAGCCATGGGGCCTTCCCGGGGTTTTCAAATTATAAGAATTGCAATAATCAAGTGTGAAGAGGAGCGTATGCATCCCATCTCAATACAGTGCGTATCCAGTCCTAAAAAATATGGGATGCATACTGATATAAACAGAGTATATCCCAATGTGATAAGGTCCTAAATCTCACCAGAGAATTTACCTGTCTGCTTTTGTAATGACAATATATATAACTATCTACAGACATCACAGGCAACTCCTGGAACGATTTCATCAGCGTTGCCTCTGAAAAATCCTGCAAAACTCTTGGGAAGACAGGTGGGCAAATGTCAGCGTGATGGATCATAGAATCATAGAATCAAAGAGTTGGAAGAGACCTCATGGGCCATCCAGTCCAACTCCCTGCCAAGAAGCAGGAATATTGCATTCAAATCATCCCTGACAGATGGCCATCCAGCCTCTGTTTAAAAGCTTCCAAAGAAGGAGCCTCCACCACACTCCGGGGCAGAGAGTTCCACTGCTGAACGGCTCTCACAGTCAGGAAATTCTTCCTAATGTTCAGATGGAATCTCCTTTCTTGTAGTTTGAAGCCATTGTTTCGCGTCCTAGTCTCCAGGGAAGCAGAAAACAAGCTTGCTCCCTCCTCCCTGTGGCTTCCTCTCACATATTTATACATGGCTATCATATCTCCTCTCAGCCTTCTCTTCTTCAGGCTAAACATGCCCAGCTCCTTAAGCCGCTCCTCATAAGGCTTGTTCTCCAGGATGAAGCAAAGACCACCAGCATTGAAGCGATGGTCCTCCACCACCAACTCCACTGGGTCAGCCACATTGTCCGAATGCCCGATCACCGTCTCCCAAAGCAGTTGCTCTACTCCGAACTCAAGAATGGAAAATGGAATGTTGGAGGACAGGAAAAGAGATTTAAAGATGGGCTCAAAGCCAACCTTAAAAACTGTAGCATTGACATCGAGAACTAGGAATCCCTGGCCATTGGGCGCTCTAACTGGAGGTCAGATGTGATGAGCTGTGCTGTAGAATTTGAAGAGACACGAATGGAGGGTGAAAGAGAGAAATGTGCCAAGAGGAAGCCAACCCCGACCAAGACCGCCTTCCATCTGGAAACGGATGCCCTCACTGCAGGAGAACATGCAGATCAAGAATAGGACTCCACAGTCACCTACGGACCCACCGCCAGGACACCGAACTTGGAGGACAATCTTACTCGGACAACGAAGGAACACCTAAGAGAGAGAAAGAATAGATAATGACAATAACAGTCACAGCAACAATTACTATTATCATTATTACTATCACTCTGTCCACCTAAAAGTCCGAATCAAGTTGGGAGCTGCATTCCAAGCTTTTGGGAGGGAGATAGGTATGCAATGTGATGATTAGACTATTTTGCTCTTTCCTCCCTTCCAGAGGAGCACGAAGAGCCGTACTCTGAAGGCCGGGTCAGTGGTCAGACCTTCCGCTACAACAGCCCCCTCTCTCCAGAAAGACCCCTTGACTGTAGTCCTCGGCCTCCATCCGCTAAACGCCTTGAGTTTGTGTACATGGTAAGTCCGGATCCAGTGTTTCACAGCTTGAAGCACATCTTACTCTTTTTATACAGTGTCTTCCAGGTCTCTTAGTCCAAGTTCTGGCTATTCCTTCCCTGTAGCTTGAAAGGTAGCAGATTCTAGTGATGTCCAACCTCTGGTCCTGCATGTGTTTTGCACTACAGCTCCCAGAACTCCTTACCATAGGACATCCTGAGCAGGGCTTCTGGGAGTTGGAGTCCCAAACACCATCAAGACAAAAAGTTGGACACCTATGTTCTAGAACAAAGGCTACTAGAAGTGGGCAAAGATTATTTATTTATCTATTTGTTTAGGGCATTTATATCTCGTCCTATCACACCTCTGCAGAGGGACTCAGGGCGGCTAACAACCGGCACAGCACAGTGCCCACAATAAGAAAAGCATAAATATACATAATATAATAAAACAGTATAAAACAATATAAAAAAATTAAAACACATCGCCGAATTCAGTCGCCATCCTAAAACAGTCCATCATAGTCCATTAAAACTGTAGCTTTGCCTGCAAGTCAGTCTAGTCTGCAAAGGTCTGATCCCAGAGCCAGGATTTCGCTTCTTTTTCGGAAGGACAGGAGAGATGCGAGCAGATCTGATTTCGTTTCGGAGGGAATTCCATGGGTGAGGGGCCACCACAGAGAAGGCCCTGTTTCTCATGCCCACCAAGTGTGATTGTGATGGTGGGGGAACTGAGAGCAGCCCCCCGCAATGATCTTAAGGTCCTAGGTGGCTCATAGCAGGAGATACATTCGGACAGGTAAACTGGGCCAGAACCGTTAAGGGCTTTATAGGCCACACCCAGCACTTCGAATTGTGCTCGGAAGCTGATAGACAGCCAGTGGAGCTGGTGTAGCAAGGGTGTTGTGCGCTCTTGGTACCCCAACCTGGCTGCCGAGCGTTGGACTAACTGAAGCTTCTGAACAGTCTTCAGAGGCAACCCTATGTAGAGCGCGTTGCAGTAATCTATTTGGCAATGTATTTCTAAGACCGAAGGTTTTGGTGCTATATGAGTAGCAGAGCAATAGTTCTCAACCTTTGTCCCTATAGATGTTTTCAGCTGCAGTGCTCATAATGTCTTATCATTGGTCAACCTGGTTGGGGCTGTTGGGAATTGAGGTCCAACACATTTGGATGACCAACAGTTGAGAACCATTGAGAACCATACATTCTGCTGTTTCCATTGTTCCTCTGTTTTCTGACAGCCTTCAAACCAGCAAGTGAAGGAGAGCGAGTCCACCTCTCTTGGGGTCAGATCCTTGGAACCTTCCCTTAGTTTGCCTGCCACTCCAAACAGACACACAGCCTGGGGCCGGAGCAGTGCTTTGCCTTCCGTGGATGAGAAGAAGGCACACCAGCCGTGTTCAACCCAAGCCAACATTGTCCCCATCAACGTCTCCGGTAGGTTTGACAATGTATATGGAGGTCGGGCAAGATGTTGCAATGGCATATGAAGGTTGAAGTCAACATGATGGTCAGAAATGGAGAAGTGAGGAAAATTCACAGTGGAGGTGGAAAATGCAGGATTCCCCTGGAGCAGCATGTGTATCTTCACAGATTGTTATTATTATTATTATTATTATTATTATTATTATTATTATTATTTCTGGTATTTCTCTACCCTGAAAAGGCGACTCAGGACGGCTTACATAGGAAGCAATTCAATGCCATTACATGAACAATTAATACAATAACCATTAAACAAAAACCATCAAACCATTAAAATACATAAAATACACAAGCCATTAATTAAACAGTATAAAATCTTAATTACTAATAAAACCGTATCCTCATGTAAATCGTCTTTCCAGTCCATTTCAAAGTGCTGCTTTATGTCTGCTGATTGAAGGCCTGGTCCCACAACTATGATTTTCCTTTCTTCCTGAAAGCACAGGCAGGGAGACACCACCAAGAAGGCCCTGTCCCTCGTCCCCACTAGCCGTGTTTGCGATGTTGGTGGAAGTGAGAGCAGAGCCTCCCCGGATGTTTTTGGTTAACATACACATACGTTTTATTCTATTGTTTTAATTTATTTTATTGTTTTAATTTATGTTCTATTTATTATTTTAATTGTTATATGGCTTTGTTATATTTAATGGCATCAAATTGTGCCAAATGTAAGCCATCCTGAGTTTCCCTTCAGGGGTTGAGAAGGATGGGGTAGAAATACTGGAAATAAATAAATAAATAAGTGCATGTCATGTGTGCGCCCAAATATGCTTGCGTGTGTATGCCCATGCTCATGCTCTGTCACTCTGGCTTCATCGCCATCGAATTTAATACATCAGGAGAGAACTTCCTGTGGTGGCCATGCGTTCCGTGTCAGCAGGGGTGGCAAATCCCCTCCAGATTTTAATAAAGATTTCAAATGAGTCTTCTAGAGTGCTAAAATATAGTCCTAAATAGAGCTAACACTTTGGATGCCTCCTTCAAAAATCTGGAAACGAATTCAGCACCCTAGGAACATAACAGCGACAGGATGCCACTGAACAAAAAAGCTCTCTGTGTGATGCTAAAAGCTGGAAAATCAATGTTCTTGAATCTGAGAGCCTCTGCTGCAAATAGTTTTTTGAGAGAGGAGAGCAACATCTCAGAGAGTCAAGGCTAGAGTATCTTCCATAAAGCTATGTCCTCTGTCACTCAAATCAGATTTTCCAGCTGTCCCAGCTGGATTGTTGAATGTCTTTGTCTTTCTTCCTCACATTTGCTAAATTCCACTGAGTGCTACAATTAAAATGTGGAAAGCCACTGTATTTATCACATTAGGTTGGGTTCAAGTGTAGGCTAGAGCATTCTTTGTGTATTTTAAGTGTGAGGGCCAGCATTCTTTTCAAACGTTTCAGAGGATGGTGGGGAAGTGGGTTTTTGGTAATCATCTGGATGTTTGGCTAATTCTGTAATGTGATGGCATTCATTGCTCCCAGGTTTAAAATGAAACATTTCCCCCATTTGTGGGAAGGGAACTTGTGGGAGGAGCCAAAAGTACCCTTGTCAGGGAAACTTCTGCCATTAAATTTTGCTCACTGAGTTTTTACTTTAAATGTTATTATTATTATTATTATTATTATTATTATTATTATTATTATTATTATGCCATGTCTCCATGTTGTGCAGTCCTGGGAGTCACCGTTTCCCAAGGTCCACTTACAGTATGGAATGAATGCCCTTGCACCCCACTTTAAGTGGCATGGCTACATGCAATGGAGACCTTCTGGGAGGTGTAGTTTCCCAAGGTCCATATCCTTCTCTGGGTGCATCTACACTGTGGAATGAATGCGTTTGGGCCTTATTTTAAATGCCATGTCTCCATGAGAAGATCTTGGGAATTTTAGTTTCCCAAGGTCCATGAACCACCTCTGGGTGCATCTACACTGTGAAATGAAAGCAGCTGGACCTTACTTTAAATACCACAGCACCATACTATGCAGTCCTGGGAGTTATAGTTTTCCAAGGTCCACACCCTTCTCTGTGTGGCAGGTGAGAGAGGGAGGGAGGGAGAGTGCATTGCAGCTTTCTCTCCCACCCTCCATCCCAACTTCCTTGCTTCTGGAATTGAAGACATATAACAGCTGTCATTTCAAAGAGATTAGGTTACTTTCCCCACAAAAAACATGGGGGGAGGGATGGTGAGTGATGCTTAGTGATTACAGTGTGATGGCAAATGAACTAAAAGAATGCTGAGTGCAACTGAGTCACACGGATGCATTTAACAGTGTGATGAAGGTAGGGAAATCATCCGTATCATTTCAAAACTGAGTACGACTGAGCTCTACTCTTCCAAACACTTCCCTGCTTCAATGTGATGAAGTCCTTTGTCTTTGCTACAGGGCAGCCATTCGCTAGGCACGCAAGTACACGCCATTCCCTCTTTAACACGGAGACCGCAATGAATCCCAAGTCTTTGCTGCGGCGGAGGCGGACAGTCATCGGCTTCCCTCATCTCACCATGCGAGACCAAGGTGACCAGAAAGATGGGGCTGATGCTCCCTGCCAAAGAAGTCAAGACTGCTTCAGAGAAGCTGTAGAACCCAAACTTGTTGCAAACATGATTCTTAAATGCGCTTACATTTGGAGGGGTGGATTTGGTGTCTGGGGTATTTATTTATCGTGTCAGTAGCAACCAGACAATTGTATTACATTTTTAACAAATTTTTAACAAACAGACAAAACAGAGTTTGCAAGCTTGGTAGTTGATTAAATGTCCTTTGACCAGTATCTGGCCACTTGGAGTGCCTCTGGTGTTGCTGCAAGAAGGTCCTCCATTGTGCATGTGGCAGGGCTCAGGTTGCATTGCAGCAGGTGGTCTGTAGTTTGCTCTTCTCCACACTCGCATTGTGGATTCCACTTTGTAGCCCCATTTCTTAAGGTTGGCTCTGCATCTCGTGGTGCCAGAGCACAGTCTGTTCAGCGCCTTCCAAGTCGCCCAGTCTTCTGTATGCCCAGTCTCTCATTTGGTATCAGCCATTGATTGAGGTTCTGGGTTTGAGCGTGCCACTTTTGGACTCTCGCTTGCTGAGGTGTTCCAGCAAGTGTCTCTGTAGATCTTAGAAAACTATTTCTTGATTTAAGTTGTTGATGTGCTGGCTGATACCCAAACAAGGGATGAGTTGGAGATGTCACTACCTTGGTCCTTTCACTATTGGCTGCTACTTCCTGGCGGATGTCAGGTGGTGCAATACTGGCTAGACAGTGTAATTTCTCTAGTGGTGTAGGGCGCAGACCTACACCCGTGATTACCAGCCTGTGATAATGCGACATGTCTCATTAAGAGCCACATCCACTGTTTTAGCGTGGTGAGATGTGTTCCACACTGGGCATGCATACTCAGCAGCAGAGTAGCATAGTGCAAGGGCAGATGTCTTCACTGTATCTAGTTGTGATCCCCAGGTTGTGCTAGTCAGCTTTCGTATGATATTATTTCTAGCACCCACTTTTTGCTTGATGTTCAGGCAGTGCTTCTTGTAGGTCAGAGCACGGTCCAGAGTGACTCCCAGGTATTTGGGTGTGTTGCAATGCTCCAGTGGGATTCTTTCCCAGGTAATCCTCAGAGCTCGGGATGCTTGTCTGTTCTTAAGGTGAAAGGCGCATGTCTGTGCCGATCACCGAAGCGGTACCTATTGATCTTCTCACATTTGCATGTTTTTGAACTTCTGGGTTGGTAGAAGCTGTGGCTAACAGTGGAAACTCACCCCACTCCCTGGATTCGAACCACCAACCTTTCGGTCAGCAAGTTCAGCAGATCAGCAGCTTAATCCGCTGAGCCATGGGGGCTTACTGGGGCTTTCAAATTATAAGAATCGTAGTAATCAAGTGTGATGAGGAGTGTATGCATCCCATCTCAATACAGTGCGTATCCAGTCCTAAAAAATATGGGATGCATACTGATATTAAATAGAGTATATCCCGGTCCAGAGTGACTCCCAGGTATTTGGGTGCGCTGCAATGCTCTAGTGGGATTCCTTCCCAGGTGATCCTCAGAGCTCGAGATGCTTGTCTGTTCTTAAGGTGAAAAGCACATGTCTGTGTTTTAGATGGATTAGGGATCGGCTGGTTTTCCCTGTAATAGGTGTCTGGGGTTATTTGTAAGCATTTCATATTGGACTCAAAAGATCAACTATTAGGAAATGTTAAGATTTTGTATGGAAGTGCAATATCCGAGTTTTTCTTTTCTAAAAATGTTGAGAACTATTGATTGTTGAAGCCTGACAAATTGCTGTTCCAATAGATCTCAAACTACGCACATTTTCAGGCTGCCAACAAAAATGAAACAAAACAGATGAGTCACAGTTAACGGCAGGAGTTTCAAAAGGACAAACAAATTGAACTAGGGAATTTAACAATGTTTTGAAAAGCCCCAGTCATGGATTTGCTTGAATAGAAATGAATAAAAAACTGAGGTGAGGAAATGAGCTGGCACATAAGACCCCTCCCGCTTGATGTCCAGAAATAAGTTTGCTCTTTTCATATTGAGTGGGGAAAAATAAAGATGGCCCTATAATTATGTTATGGTGAATGCCATTGCAAAGCTTCTGTGGGCTGGAACACAGCTTTATCAGAAGTCTTGTTCCTGGGAGCCTTGTATTTATTTATTTATAGTATTTATATTTCACCTTTCTCACCCCGAAGGGATCTCAGGGTGGATCACAGAACAAATACACGGCAAACATTCAGTGCCGTTTAACAGACAAGACAGACAACAGATAGAGGTATTATGCTGGCTTCGGCATCCTGGAGGTTGTGCTCGATTTCGGCCACAGAGGGGTGCTATTGGGGAGTCCATCCTCTATGACAAGAGGCCTTGATCACAGACTCTCTCCTTCCTCCTACCAGCATTTTTCTGGTATTTCTTTTATGGTGCCATGAAATACCTCCCCACTTAAGCGGTGCCTAATTTCTCTACTCACAGCTCACATATTGTTGTTGTTGTTGTTGTTGTTGTTGTTTTGGGTATTTATCCCCTGCCCTTCTCAACCTCCTGTGGAGTGGGACTCAGGGCGGCTTCCAAGCCAGCACATAGTCGATGCCTACAATTAAACACAATAAAACACACAACAAAACAGTGATTATAAATAATTAAAAACATTGTGTTAATGCAATGAAATCTACTAAAAATGTTTTTGAACTGCTTAGGTGGACAGCAAGCTGGGCTGAAGGTCAGGTGCTCACCCTGACCCAGCCTTTGAACTGCCAACCTAAGATGTATTGCTGCTGGTGATTAACCAGCTGCGCTAAAGCCCGGCCCTGCATTTGAAAGAACATGTAGCCATCTTCATTCAAATGCAGCCTTTTAAGGTGTTTGTGTTCAATGCACAGCCTATATCTGATTTTTAGGAATGCTTAATGCCATTCCTGCCACCAGTTTTAGCCTTACTTGTGTTCACTTGTGTGCCGGAGCTCGAAATGATCAAAATACCTGGTTTGGAAGGATACAACGTATTTGTCATTTTGAAATTGGAGAATTGGAGAATTTTGACAACCCGTAAAAAAGAGGGAAATTTAGCAAGAAGGCTTCTGTGTTCTTGTTTAATTCCACTCTTTCATTCTCTCTCTCTACTAGCCAACAGCAATGGCCCCATTCTCAACCCTCCAGCAACTATAGCTGAGTCTGTCTCCTGCAACTTTGTTCCTGACGTTGTCAATGGGAGAAGCACCACCCACCACATCCGATCCCCTCAGCCACGGCCACAGCTGAGGAAGACCTTCAGTGACCTTGGTGGAGTTCTTCAGGGAAGGTGTTGCCAGGTGCCCACGGGCCATGCAGAAAACCCCAGGGTGATGTATGCCAGCCCTTCATGCAACGGCCCCAAGGAGGACTCAGTCTTCTCTCCGGCTTGGAGTGCAGCCTCTTTCGGCTACGTGAGTCCATCTATGAGCCAAAGCGAGCTGGCAGCAGAGAGCGTGACTCCATTGTCTCCTTGCAGCCCAAAGGGAACCCCAGACTCTGACCAACCCACCTCCTTCTTCATCAGCAAAGACCTGGTTGTCGAAAACAATGGGTCTGGGACATTCTGTACTTCTCCCAAATCCTCCATACCTGCTGAAGGAGGCTCAAGGTGTGAGGAAAGAGAGGGCAAGGCCCATTTGGCCCTCCTCAGCCCAGCGGAAGAGGACTGCCCACAAGTGGAGAGGGGGAGAATCACGTGCAGGTTCCGCGAGAGGTCACTCTCGGTCCCTACAGACACGGGCTCCCTGTGCTCTATGGACATTGGGGGCAGCGAGACCTGTGGGTTGAGCTATCCCAGCGCAAGTTCCGAAGGCAGCACAAGCACAGACAACGTCTCCCTGACGGTGGAGCAGGAGGCTCAGGCACAGCAACGACGGCAGCGCACCAAGAGCATCTCGCTCAAGAAGGCCAAGAGGAAGCCCTGCCCACCGACCCGCAGTGTGTCTCTGATCAAGGATGTGCAAGAAGAGATGGCAGAGATGGAGGATGAGGCTGAGCTGGAGGATCAGCATCCCCAAAGCCTGTTTTTGCTTCCTGATGTGCAGGTCCACGGCCAAGGAGACGCATCAAGGGAGCTGGAAAGTGTGCCGTACACCCAGCAGTGGTACATGCCAGAGTGGAATTCCAATGAGCCCTATTGCTCTCTTTCTGGCTCCAGCACCACCACTGGGACCACCATGATTGAGCTTTCCAAAGCACAAGGCAGCTCTGAATCACTCCCTTCTCCCTCCATTTCCCGGGCCACCACGCCATCCCAGCTCTCCGCTGAAGTGAATTTGAAAACCTCCTCTCCAGGGAGGCCAACGGGTGTCATGTCTCCTTCCAGTGGCTACTCCAGTCAGTCTGAAACTCCAACCCCAACTGTCCCAACCTCACTGGTCCTCGGACACACACCACACCAGACCGGGCGGACGAGACCCCTTGTGCCTGAGAGGAAGTCCTCGCTGCCCCCCGTCTCGCCCCTGGAGCAGAGCCCTAAGTCGCGCCTCTCATTCGACCTACCATTCGCCCCACCAACACACCTGGACCTTTCAGGATTGAAAATCTCACGCAAAGCCAAGGTCAAAGTGAGCCGGCATCATTCAGATTCCACCTTTGGAACCAAGCTGGGCCCAAAGCTGAGCCCCGTGCAGCCTGTCATGCCCATGGTGACGCAGCTGGACCTCCGCTCTGTCCGCCTGCGCTCCATCAGCCGCTCCGAGACAGAGGATAACCTGGAGAGCCCTGAACCTGTCGAGGAGCCCGGAAAGAAGATCCGGCCACCAGTGGCAGAGAAGCCACCCCTCTCCCGGAGGCCTCCGATGCTCCTACATAGGACCCCGCCAGTCCAGGAAGAGTCTCCCACAGGCTCTCCAACATCTCCACTGTCACCAAAGGATGTCATTTCCACAGGAAGCGTTTACACGATGGCCAAGAGACCTGAGCACCACCAGTGGGACACAGATGCCTGGGGTCCCGTGGAGTCTCCCTCCCCGGGGGGAGCGGTCTCTCCCGGACGGGACCCCCCAGAGACATTTTTCACTCCTGTGCGGCAACTATCTGAGGACAGCCTGGAGGAGGATGAAGAGATGAAGCTCAAGCTTCTGGGAGAGAGGATGCCTGGAGAGGAGAGACGCAGAACCAAAGTCCCGCCCCCTGTCCCCAAGAAGCCCAGCATGCTTTACTTGCCGTTGGTGAACTCCCCACTCCACCCAGGAGCCTGTTCGGGGGACACAAGACTGGACATCAGCCCAGTTGTAATGGGAGACGAGAACTCTGCTTACCCAAGACTGACCACTTGCAAGGTTTCCTCCCCTGTGGCTAGTGAGCCAAATGGCAGCTCAACCACTACAGATGGATCTTGGGAGGACTTTTCAGGTAAGCCGTTTTGGATTGCTGGATTTTTGTATTTGGTGTGGTCCAAGAGGAACTATACTCAGGGGAGACAAAACTCAGACTTAAGCATCTCTATGGTTATGAAGCAACTGAGAGCCAGTATGGTGTAGTGATCTGAGTGTTGGATTAAGAAGACCACGGGAGACCGGGTTTTGAATCTTATTTAGTTATTATTTATTTATTTACTTCATTTATGAACAGATTTTCTCACCCGGGGGTGGGAGTATATATTAATATAAACATCAAAATTACATAATCTGAAAATCATAGTCCAAGGCCATTTCATTGGTCCCACAGCCATGTTTTTACTTTTTTTCTGAAGGCCAAAAAGGAGGGCACTGATGTAATTGCATTGGGGAGGGAGTTCCATAGTCGAGGGGCCACCACTATGAAGGTCCTGTCTCTCTTTCCCACCAGACCCCTCAACTTTTGAGGATTTTTTTTCTTCATGTCAAGAGTGACTTGAGAAACTGCAAGTCGCTTCTGGTGTGAGAGAATTGGTCGTCTGCAAGGACCTTGCCCAGGGGATGTCCAAATGTTTCAGTGTTTTACCATCCTTGTGGGAGGCTTCTCTCATGTCCCCTCATGGGGAGCTGGAGCTGACAGAGGGAGCTCAACCCACTCTCCCCTAATTTGAACTGTGTCCTGTTGGACACACCAGGGGCTCCCACCTCTGAGGATGCTTGTCATAGATATGGGTGAAACATCAGGAGACAATGCTTCTGAAACATGGCCAGACAGCCTAGAAAACTCACAGCAACCCAGTGATTCAGGACATGAAAAGCCTTCGACAACACATTGTCCTATCTTTCTCAGTTTGTTGTCTACTCTTTGAATCTAACTGGCAGGAATTGCCTTGTGTTTGCCCAAATCCTTGCTTTGTTTCCTTCAGGGAATTCCATGGACTTCAGAGCCGAAGAGAAGCGCTTTGTCAGCGACAAAACAGCGGAGTCTATAACGGAGGAGGAGGATGATGTGTTTATGACATCCCGAACCACCGAGGATTTATTTACTGTCATTCACAGGTGGGGTCCCATCCTGGTAGCTTTTTTCAGGTTGTGCATCTAAAAAGAAACACAAAGAATGTGGAAAGGAAGGGGGGGGGAGTTAGTTGGATACAGTTCAAAGAGAAAAGGTATTTTACCTGTGATAGTAATTCTTTCTAGTTTGAGAATGGGAAAACACCTTGGACTTAACATAGCTAATTTCCAGTCTATTTGTTTCACAGTAATTGGCAAAGCAATTCATTAAGCATTTAAGGCCAATACTAGACAAGAACAGTAGCACAGCATCATCTGCATATAAGAATATGGAAAATTGGTAGAATGGAGCTTGGGATATGACCATTTGCCAACACTAAAGCCTGGGGTAAATCATGATATTGTTGTACAATTGTCTAAGTAGACACAAAAGTCTGGGATTGTCCTTAGTATAAACCAGAGCTTGGAAAGAACCATGCTTGCCAGAAAAGTCCAAAAAAGTAACTTTTCTTTATTCCTGGTGGAATCATATGTTTTGTGCTGATCTATGCAATTCACTAAACTCAAAAAGTATTTGCTTTTTTAAAACAAGGAGGGATCTTTAAATCCTCATCTACACTGCCATATAGATGGGGCCTTAGTCTGGGTCACATTTTTGGGTTCTGTGTTGTGTCACCCAATGAGAACTGGCTTTGAGAAGAGGCGTAGACAGTCTTTCGGCTTTAGCACAGCAGGTTAATCACCAGCTGCAGCTGCAGTAAATCTTGACATCCGAAAGGTTGACAGTTCGATGTTGGGTCAGGGTGAGCTCTTGACCTTCAGTCCAGCTCCTCTGCCCACCTAGCAGATCAAAAACAGCAATGTGAGTAGATGTATAGGAACTACATTAAGCGGGGAGGTATTTTAGGCACAACGTTTTGGAGGAAACTTAACGAACAAAGAAAGCTCTTTGGCAAGGAGATGGAGTGACAGTGTCAGGATCGCTGCATCAGCCTGGGACTGGCTGCTTCAGTTATCTGCCATGAAGAAGGGAAGTGGGGGAAAGGGAGGTTGAGTACAGTTGGGGAAAGTAGTGTAGATAAGACATCTGTTTAGTGAGGGAAATTGAAACTGCAGTTAACAGGCTGTGGGCACAGTGTTTGGCCACTAGGGGGTGGATGGGAGTTGGGGCTGATACATATAGGGAGTTTGAGTGGGAAAACTTTAGAACTGTCTTTTTAGGATTGTGGGTCGCAGGAATAAACCATTTGTCTCCAGCATTTTATTATTATGAGCTTGATTTTAACCCAAAGATCTTCCAAAGTCTGACAGACAACAGCCCCTTGTGGCTGGAACCAAGCACAGCCTCCAAAGATGCCAATTATGTGGAAAAGCCTATATATACCATTATCTGTTGTCTGTCTTGTCATTGTATAATCGGCATTGAATGTTTGACATATTTGTTTCTGTGATCCACTCTGAGTCCTCTTTCAGGGTGGGAAGGGCAGAATATAAGTACTGTAAATTGTGTGTGTGTGTGTGTATGTTTGTGTATGTGTATGTACATACACACACACACATATATATATACACATACACACACATATACATACATACATACACACACATCATAAATACACGGTGTTCCCTCACTTATTGCGGGTGTTAAGTTCCAGGACCACTCGCGATAAATGAAAATCCGCGAAGTAGGGATGCTATATATATATTTCATTCCGAGGGTGAGGCAGAAGCAAGGGGAGATTTAAAGCACCGTGCATCTTTTTTTTTTTTGCTAGCTATAAGGAAGGGGCTATAAGACCGTGATTTACATACTGCTTTATCTCTCCTCTCTCTCTCTTTTATGATTGGCTGCCAGTAGGCAAAAACCCGCGAAACAGCGAGTCTGCAAAAAATGAACTGTGAAGTAGTGAGGGAACACTCTGTGTGTGTGTGTGTGTGTGTGTGTGTGTGTATAGGTAAAGGTTTTCCCTTGACATTAAGTCCAGTCATTTCTGACTCTGGGGTGTGGTGCTCATCTCCATTTCTAAGCTGAAGAGCCAGCGTTGTCCGTAGACACCTCCAAGGTCATGTGGCCGGCATGACTGCATGGCACCCCGTTACCTTCCCACTGGAGTGGTACCTATTGATCTACTCACATTTGCATGTTTTTGAACTGCTAGGTTGGCAGAAGCTAGGGCTGACACTGGAAGCTCATGCCGCTCCCCGGAATTGAACCTGCGACCTTCCCAAGCAATAATTTCTAAATGGCTCCCAATATACTATGGCGGATTGATGAAAAAACCCATAGAAGCCACTAAATGGTGGTATTGCACAAGGTGGAGCCATAGAGAGTACCTCTGAGCTAGTAATGTTGCCTTTTTTCATCCCAAATGGTGTTCTCTTCACAGATCCAAACGGAAGCTACTGGGGTGGAAGGAACCCAGCGATGCCTTTGGCAACCGGACGCATGCACAGATGCCCTCCAAGAATGCCGGAGGGTCCCTGAGCAGCGACAACATTGCGGGCAGCACAAGGGCCTCCCACAAGAACGAAGACTTCAAGGCTCTCCTGCAGAAGAAAGGCGGGAAGGGCGCCTCCGGCACCCGCACATCCGCGGCCGAATTGCTCAAGAGCACCAACCCTTTGGCGCGGAGGGTCATGACAGAGTTCACTGTGGATGGGGCCATCCAAAGCCCGAAGACCCAGCCATGAGTTGGTTGGGAGGAAGGAAGCTTCGTCTTTCCCCACTAGACCCTAAACCACCCCCAGGTTGGTCTTTGGGGTGAAACTGCTTCCCTTTGGGAGTTTTGCCAAAACCAGTCTTTGTTGATTTGCTGGCCGTGATTAACACCGTTGTGGTTCTTACTTCTGGGGCAGGGAGAGAGACTCCGGATATTTCTTTTTTTAAAGTGTCTTAAATGTAGAGCACACCCATCCCTTATGGAAACAGCTGCACATCTTTGCTTTCAAGGAGAGAAACTTAGTTTACTTTACGTGGTTGGAAGACGGGGCTATGACACGGATGTTCCTGTGACGGGCAATTACAGGTGGATGTCCAATGTGCCATCATCTTCCTCAATTGCATGAAGAGCAGAATATTCTTCTCTCTCTCTCTTTCTCTCTCTCTCTCTCCGTTTTCAGGGCTTCCGAGTCCCTCTCTGCAGTGAAGCTAATTTGGAACCGTTTGGTTTCTTCGGCATGTGGTACTTCCAGTGCTTGTACGATACAATATACATCTGTTGTGGCTTCTTCTTTGGTTTTGTTTATGGAAAATTTTCCCCTGAGAATCAGATCAAATCCTGGCCACTTAGGAAGGCAAGGCAAGTGTCCCTCTATCAAAGAAACTCTGGTCTTAAAGAAGAAAGATAGTTGCTTAAGTTGATACCTGATGCTCATCTTATGTCTCCATGAAACAGGGCTGGTGCACACATATTGCCAGTGCCAAAGCTCATCTACAGAACTGATAGTAGATCCATGAAGAGCAAAATATAATGTGGTTCTTTAGAGTTCCTGAGCTGCAGCATTTGCCTTAACTGGATGGATTCTGTCTAGGTCAGTCATGGGTTAAATTTGGTTCTCCGGGTGTTTTGGACTTCAGCTCCCACAATTCCTGGCTGAGGGGGAAAAGGAAAGGGCCTGAGGCTAGGAATTATGGGAGTTGAAGGCCAAAACACCTGGAGAACCGGTTTGCACATGCACTTAGTGGTGAGGCCCTTTTGGGACTTTTATCTGGTTCAAGACTTAAAATGTCCTAAATTGCCTGTTGTTGGGCATCATCTCAAAGAGGGCTTGAATTGTACCTGCACTGGAATCAATGCTATGTTACTCTTGGGCCCCATCTACACTGCCATCTAATGTGGTTTAATGGCATTGAACTGCGTTATATGAGTCTGCACTGCCACATAGTAATTGGAAAGGGCTACAACTCCTTTGTTACCATCCCAGGACCTGACTTGTATTGTGATACTTCCTTCGCCAGCATTTTGTTTCTGCAGAATAACATGGGGATCAGAGGAGCATCTAGTTATGTCCCCCTAATCAGTAATAGGACACATGTCCCTCTGATTAGAGTTGTGCATGGAATTTGTTTGTCCCGTTTCCTTCGGTACTTTTGGTACTTTGGGAGCTCGTAACGGTAAGTGCCCTCCGGGTACGAAAACCCGCCCAATACAAAAGCAAGAGGGAGCTGATTCTGGTTCCTCACCTGCTTTTTACATCACAATTTAATCTTTTTTTTATTAAGCCCCTAGCAATCAAAAAGTAAACCCTCATTCCCTGAAAAACTACTCTTTCAGGAGGTCATCACTCTTCCTTACGGGGAAGTGAGAAGCCTACTTAAAATGCCTTGGAAAGAGTGAGTGGCTGGTTGGAGTGGTGTCGCCCAGGAGAGAAAGTGTGCATGCCTCCCAGCAGCTGAGCACCTCCTCTAGAGTAAGAAACAGAACATGCCTCCTTGCCTTGGAAAGAGAGTGCATATGTGGCATGCAGGACCAGAAAGTGTGTGTTCCTGTCAGTGCCTGCAGCCAAGTGCCTTCTCTAGAGTAAGAGATTCTTACTCTAGAGGAGGCGCTTGGCTGTAGGCACTGGCAGGTGCGTGCATGCACTTTCTGAGCCTGTAGCACACGCCACACACACACACACTCTTTCCAAGGCAAGGAGGTCCTTGTCTTGGAAAGAGAGTGCAAGATCAGAAAGCGTGCAGTCCTGTCTGTGCCTGCAGCCAAGTGCCTTCTTTAGAGTAAGATATTCTTACTCTAGAGGAGGCGCTTGGCTGCAGGCACTGGCAGACGTGTGCATGCACTTTCTGAGCCTGTAGCACACACCACACAAACACACTCTTTCCAAGGCAAGGAGGTCATTGTCTTGGAAAGAGGGTGCATGCGTAGCGTGCAGGTCCAGAAAGCGTGCACTCCTGTCAGTGCCTGTAGCCGAGCACCTACTCTAGAGTACAAATAGCAGGTAGTAAGAAGCCTCTATAATGCATGCAGGAAGCCCCCTTTCTAATAATGGTCCATAGAAAATTGATCTCTTGGCACCCCAGAGCAAAAATAGATATCCATCCTTTTGATTTTGGGAGTTTCTCAAAAAGTAGATCAGGGCACCCACTGAAAGCTGGGACACTAAATGTGTCAAGATTTACCCTGAAAGCACAACCCTATTAATCAGTTGCAAACTGGAGACTGTTTATATTGATATCCATTGGTGGCATATGGAAGTCTCAATGGATGCTGCCATTAGTTTGCCTCTCTCTACAGGAACATAGCCAGGCATTTCTCTTGATTCCTTGGCAATCTCCCCTATCCATAGAATGAAGGACTATTGCATTGTAAAGGGAAGTCCGGGGGGGGGGGGGGGACTTTGAACATCATTGCGAAAGAAGGAAGAGAATACCTACCTTTATAATGACTCTCCCCAAAACACATAGCCTAAAATGGACTATATAGCTGGGGTGGGGGGGGAGGACAATCTCTTTGTATTATCGAAGGCTTTTATGGCTGGAATCACTGGGTTGTTGTAGGTTTTTTGGGGGCTATGGCCATGTTCTAGAGGCATTCTCTCCTGACGTTTCGCCTGCATCTACAGCAAGCATCCTCAAACAGAGCTCACAACCTCTGAGGATGCTTGCCATAGATGCAGGCAAAATGTCAGGAGAGAATGCCTCTAGAACATGGCCATACAGCCCTGAAAAAAACGTACAACAACCCCGACAATCTCTTTGCTTGGTGACTTTTCTGATTACCAAATAGTGTCCCTATTTAAGCAAGAAAGTATCTATAGTAGTTTGCTAACAGGAAACAAAAATCAACTTGCCACTGACAATGTGTATGTGCATGTTATCTTTAGCTACACATAATAGATATGTATAGAGGACCCCATTGTATAGGACTCTGAATCCAGTTGTCCGCAATTCAGGGCACCCACTTCTAATGTACTCTTCAATCTCTCTCTTACACACACACATAAGCTGGCTAAATCTTGCATTGTTGCCAGCAACAGCATTGTCTCTTTCAGCCGGAGTCCTGGTTCCTGGAAATGGCCCAGGAATCTTGTTGCAAAGTAGTGTTTCCCAAGACAGGCCTTTCCAGATGTCTTGGACTGTATGCTTGTGCAAGAGAGGAATGCGTTGTAAAGGGGCGGAGAACGATCTCTCCCTGCAGCACTTCAAGCACATCCCAAAAGTGCCCCAAAGGGCTGTAAAACACTCCAGAACATGTTTTCCAGCACTCCAAGGACTGCAGGGAGGAGACCGAAATCCCAGCGATGCCCATTGGCGTCATGTTGGATTTCGGTCCAACTTTGATGTTCCATATTAATGATGAGAGTTGGAGCCCAGCCTTTGAGAAACTTTGCTGTAAATTGGGTCCGGGGATGGAAATATGAGAGAGGAGTTGCTTTGCTGCAGGGCTGTTTTAGCTATCTTTCCGTCCTGTGTCTTAACACTGAGCGCTGATCTCTATGTGCCAAAGAGGAAGAATGATATGATGTCATGACAAATTGTTATATATGGATTAGGGTGGGGAAAAAATTAGAAAATCTGAACTAAGAAGTGGCTAGGAAGTATGTATTGTCAAAGGCTTTCATGGGCACTATCTATAGTAGTTATAACTAGGTTGTTATGTGTTTTCTGGGCTGTATGGCCATGTTCCTGAAGCATTCTCTCCACATCTGTGGCAGGCATCCTCAGAGGTTGTGAGGGCTAGAAAGTGTCTTTGGATCTGGGTTGCTGTGAGTTTCTTGGGTTGTATGGATATGTTCCAGAAGCATTCTCTCCTGATGTTTCACCCACATCTGTGGCAGGCATCCTCAGAGGTTGTGAAGGCTAGAAAGTGTCTTTGGATCTGGGTTGCTGTGAGTTTCTTGGGCTGTATGGATATGTTCCAGAAGCATTCTCCCCTGATGTTTCACCTGCATCTGTGGCAGGAATCCTCAGAGGTTGTGAGGGCTAGACAGTGTTTTTGGATCTGGGTTGCTGGGAGTTTTTTGGGCTGTATGGATATGTTCCAGAAGCATTCTCTCCTGATGTTTCGCCCACATCTATGGCAGGCATCTTTAGAGGTTGTGAGGGCTGTTGGAAACAAGGCAAGTGGGGTTTATATATCTGTGGAATGTCCAGGGTGGGAGAAAGAACTCTTGGCCCCCTTGATTAGCACTGAATGGTCTTTTAGCTTCAAAGCATGGCTGGTTGCTGCCTGGGGGATCCTTTGTTGGGAGGAGGACACAGCATATTATTTGAGAAAACAGAAATGCTAGAGCACTCTAACTATTACCATGTCAAACTACACAGAGAAGCAATTGAAATCCACAAACATTTGGACAATTTCAACAGAAAGCAGGAAGCCATGAAAACGAACAAGGTGGCCAAGAGTTCTTTCTCCCACCCTGGACATTCAATAAATATATGTAAAATTAACAAAATCTGGCTACCAGTATTAAAAAACTCTAAAATCAGGACAGTAAATAAAGAGCAACACTTAAAAAGCAGCAGAATTCCAGACAATCAATCAGGGCCAGCTAACACCTCCCAACAAAGAATTTCCCCAGGCAGGAAGCAGCCAGGATTTGAAGCTGCAAGGCTACTAAATGCTAATCAAGGTGGCCAATTGCAACATTCACACTTAGCTCAAGCAGACAAGAATTCTTTCTCCCACAGATATATAAACCCCACTTGCCTAGTTTCCAACAGACCTCACAACCTCTGAGGATGCCTGGCCATAGATGTGGGTGAAACGTCAGGAGAGAATGCTTCTGGAGGAACATGGCCATACAGCTCCGAAAACTCACAGTGATGAAAGCCTTCGACAACACATTGTCTTTGGATCTTTCACAAGTGCAATACACAAACCATTTTGAAACTGCATTATTTGGTTAGTATAGACTCATAGAATGTAGTTTAATATGAGTCTGCCCTGAGAGTGTGTGACCATTTCTTCTAGCATGTAACTTCAT